AATTGTTCCATATACAACTCGAACAATTCCATTCATTTCTGCTAATTCAATTAATTTAAATTATTCTAATGAAGTAGAAATTGGAGTTTTATCAGTTTCTAATATGACCATTGATTCAACAATACAAATAGATGTTTTGTATCACCAAAGTGGTGAAATACAATTATTTGATGGAGATATTTATATTGTTAAATATCTTACATCTTCAGTAGAACAAAAAAGAGTTATTATAGATAATAATGCATCAGTGATTATTGGAGGATATCTTGATAATGTTATTGTTTCTATTAAAAACAAATGTTCATTAGAAATAGAAGGGATTTATTTCACTACTCAACTTGTTCAATGCCAAATAGAAATTGAACAAAATGCAATGTTTTTTTCAATTGAGAATGATCGTGTTGATTTAATTTATTCACTCATTAAAATGAATTACCCAAATGAACATGCAATTGCCTTATCTTCAACTGTGTCATTTAAAGAAACTAACTTAATTCTTCAAACAAACTCACAGTCAAAAATTGATTCACAAAATTATGGGTATATTTTATATTCTCCAAATGGATGGAATGAAACAATTATTGAGTCAGTTGTATTGAATGATGGAAAAAAAGAAACTTCTCTTCATTTAGAAGATGTGTGTGACTTTACATGGAAAACAATTCATAGAGATTCAAGTTCAGTAAAGTGTTTGCACAGTCCATTCAACATTTATAGAGTTTCTATGAATGAGCCAATTCGATGGAGAAAACATTATCATTCATGGAACATATTTTTCTTATCAGGTTCAGTAATTTTTGTGTTAGGATTACTTGGGGTTATTGGATATATACTTTATTTTTCACTACAACCAACAAAATCTCACTCATTCAATGAATAAATAATAGTTAAAGAGTCTTTTGTTATTGTTAATTCATCTGTTCTTACACATTTAATTTCAGTCCATACGCAATTTAGGATTATATTAATATGTTTTGAAAGTAAATTTACCTTATGTTAATAAATAATAGAATAATTTAATTGTAAACAATTTAACATACAAAATAAAATAACAAACTAATATAAAATGAAGATAAAAAGAAATATGAATAAATAAAATAATACAAATACATCAAAATGAAAGAACATAAACATACAAAATAAATGATAAATAAGAAAATGATAATATAAAATAAACAATTCATAACATATTTTTAATTTTAAGAATAAAATGAAATTAAAATTAAGAAGATATAAAAATAATTTGTATTTTCAATACAATAAAAATGAATAATATCTCATAATGTTTAATATAATAATACAACCATATATTTAATAAAATGATTATTCATCAATCAA